ATGTGTGTAAATGTGAGTACATCTTAATTTACAAATGGTATGTGACAATTGATTCAGATATGAACCCGTTCCCACATTAAGAGCATACTGATATTGTCCTGAAAAACTTACCGGAGGGAAACTAGATAGTTGCTCTAAAATCAAATTAACTTCCATTGCCCTTGATTTAAGGACTTTGGATAAAGTAAAATATTAAAGATAAATAATAAGGATTTATTAAAACCTACTCAAGAATTGAAAGTACTGAACATATTGAAGTAAATTCTGTAATGTAATGTTATGTTACATTATATGGAATAATTCCCTCAGTGTGGACATTATATGTTATACAATATAGCAGGGGTCACCAGGTCGCCCCCAAGGACCACACGAGTAGCCCACAGGCCTGTTCTAAAAATGAAAATTTTATATTGATATTATCTGGGTCCGTGTATGTTTTGGTCATTGGTTTTCCTTTCGAAACGGGTATTAAAAACAGAAAACGAGTGGTTATTTGTTTTCGTTTTAAATACAAAATTAAAATTGAAATACAAGGCGTTTTTTTTTCATGGTCAGAAAGGGATGAGCAAATTAAAAAATATTCGTTTTCTTTTCTATTTCATATAACAAAAATAAAATCACTAGAAAACAGAAACAGAAAAAGGCCTTTTTTCATATTCTGGACCGGATGTTGTCATTTACAGGACGGTGCTGTGTAGAAGAAACAGTAGGTTGTAGACTGCGGTCATCCAGCCGTGGTCCGATCTCCGTGGTCAAATCAGCCGCATTTAAATTTCGAGTGTACAGTATTCTCGCATTATGGTAAATGCGGGAACAGCGTATTTACTCCGGTTTTCAAAATAAAGGTTTTAGAACAGTAAGCTATAATTCGAACCTACATTTAAAATAAAATATGTTACATTAAAGTGTTGTGCCCCTGATGAATAAAAACACTTTATATCAAGTATACTGCACCAGTGTGGAGAAATACCAAAATAAAAGCCTCATATTTATGCCTCCAGAGATTGCATATTTGACAATATTTGAGGTACTGTAAAACATATTGCTCGTGTTTCCTGGCTACTGATGGTATATTTGACTTTTACACATATGAGACTACAACCATACTTAATATCAAGCTTTTTACTGTACCAATTTGGAGAAATTCAACAATAAAAGTCCATATTTGTACCTCCAAGTGGTGTTTTATATATTTGAGCTACTGTAAAACACTTTGCTCAATAATTCCTGGCTATGGATGATATATTTGACTTCTCACATCTAAGACTACAAGTATACTTAATATCAAGCATTTTTACTGTACCAATGTGGAGAAATTGAAGAATAAAGTCCCATATTTATACTTCCAGATTCCATATTTTTTATATTTGAGCTACTGTAAAATGTAAACTGTATGTGGAACCACCTGCAACAGCTGTCACACTGAATAATATAAAAATAATATGTGAGGAAGGACAGTAGGTACAATGGTGTTTTGAAGTTAAAACTAATTATTTTTCCTTTACCTACAAATGGACACAGCAGGCTGCAAATAAGAAGAATGTGGACTGGCATTGCTTTTGTGTGAAAAGTAAACAAATTAGAATTGTGTGGATTTTGTGTTTAGTGTTTAGTGTTTATATTATATATAATTATATATATGTTATTAAACATTTGTGTGAAAATTTGTACTGTAAAACATATTGCTCAGTGTTTCCTGGCTACTGCTTTTCACATATGAGACTACAAGCAGACTTAATATCAAGCATTTTTATTGTACCAATTTGGAGAATTCAACAATAAAGTCCATATTTGTACCTCAGTGGCATATTTTTATATTTGAGCTACTGTAAAACACTTTGCTCAATAATTCCTGGCTATGGATGGTATATCTTACTTCTCACATCTAAGACTACAGTATACTTAATATCAAGCATTTCTACTGCACCAATGTGGAGAAATTTAAGAATAAAGGTGGTTCCCCTGTTGTGGACCACTGCAAGCTGTCACGCTGAGTCTGTAAAAGGGAAAATAATATATGAGGAAGAGACAGTAGGTACAATGGTGTTTTGAAGTTAAAACTAATTATTTTTCCTTTTACAGATTCAGTGTGACAGTGTTGCGGTGCTTCCACATACAGTGCCTACAAATGGACACAGCGAGCTGCAAAATAAGAAGAATGTGGACTGGAATTGCATTTTGTGTGAAAGTAAACAAATTAGATTGTGTGGATTTTGTGTTTAGTGTTTAATCTTTATATTATAATTTTTTATAAAATGTTATTAAACATTTGTGTGAAATTTTGTCATGATTACTGCATCATTATTGAGTATAATGAAATGCTTCACCCATAGCCGGTATTATTGAGCAAAGTGTTTTTACAGTAGTTCAATATATGAAAATATGCCACTTGGGGTACAAATATGGACTTTTATTGTTGAATTTCTCCAAATTGGTACAGTAAAATGCTTGATATTAAGTATGGTTGTAGTCTCTATGTGTAAGTCAAATATACCTCAGTGCCGGAAACACTGGCAATATGTTTTTACAGTCCTCAAATATTGTCAATATGCATCTCTGGGGCTAAATATGAGGCTTTTATTTTGGTATTTCTCCACACTGGTGCAGTATACTTGATATAAAGTGTTTTTTATTCATCGGGGCGCATGAAACACTTTAATGTAACATATTTTAATTATAGCTTACTGTTCTAAATACCTTTATTTTGAACACCAGAGTAAATACGCTGTTTCCCGCATTTACCATAATGCTGAGAATACTTGTACACTCTAAATTTAAGTGCGGCTGATTTGACCCGGGTCGGACTCACGGCTGGATTGACGCGTCTACTAGCCTACTGTTTCTTCTCACGCACCGTCCGTAAATGACACATCCGGTCTCGATATGAAAAGGTTTTTTGTTTCGTTTTTGTGTTTTATTTTTTGTTATATGAAATAGAAAATGAAATCGAATATTTTTAATTTCACTCTCCCTTTTGCCATGAAAGAAAACGCCTTGTATTTCAATTTTAATTTTTGTATTTTAAACGAAATCAATAACCCTCGTTTTCGTTTTTAATATCCGTTTCTGAGGAAAATCCAATGACAAACTCCGACCGAAATCATTAACGTGATCAGTGTGTTCACAGAGATGAGTATCATTAATCATTAATAATAATATATAACTAAAGGCAAACTGAGCAAATTTGTTATTTCAGAAGAGTGTATCAAACTGGTAGCCCTTCGTATGACTCAGTACCCATGAAGTAGCTCTCAGTTTCAAAAAGGTTGGTGACCCCTGCAGTATAGGAATACTGCGTACAGTACAAAGGAGGCTTACTTTTGCTTTAAATGCTAGTTTGCCCTCTGGTGGCAGATGGAGTGAACTGCATTCTTTAAATTGATAAAATCACACATGCAAAGCAGCAGACAAAAAGATCAGCTCAGACAGTAAAAACATCCATGTAAAAACAGCTGGATTAGAAAGAAAGTTCAGGAAATAATGTCCAGAAACAACAGACTGAAAGGGGTCAAAATTTAGATTTGTGCTTGCTTTTGTCCCCGTTGGTGTGACACACCAATCAGTACGGCAGAGAAGTCCATTGATGCTTTCATTTCTGATTCAAAGCAGAGCATACCATACCTCCATACCAGAGAGCACAGGCTGATGTAAACAATCATTTCAAAACATTGCAAAAAAAAGTTTTGCAAATGTTTTATGAGGTAGGAAATGTATTCCACATGTTTGTTAGACCTCAACACATTAAGTGTTTTGGTGGGAACATTGACGATAGTCAATAAAACTCAAAGGGATTTCTTTAATTGAGTCTGTTTAGTAAAATTACTCATACTTCACATTTCTGTAGACTACTTCCCAAAACATACCAAAGAGGCTTTTGTTTTTGTATTTATTTCCTTTGTTAATTTCCATATTAAACATTCATGTTAATCCATTACGGTGAAATATAATGTCTTCTTTTATCCTTATCAGAAAATCCATAAACCATCTGAGTGTGAGGCAACACTGCGCCACCGTGTGTATAAATGTAGTAGTTTGTTTACCTTGATGTTACTGGCTGTCATCCTAAATACCACCGCCACCTGTTCAGTAACATTCATGAGGAAGGCTGTAGGGCTACACTGCAAAGGTAAATAAGTAATGATTCACTCTCCTCCCTGCCACATGTGATCAGATACTTATCTTTGCTGCAGAAGCTCAAGTTTTTGTCTTTTCTCAGCTTCTTTTTTGTCTTAAAGCAAGCTCTCCTCCTTCGCCTCCATTAAGAACTTCTCTTGAGGTTCTTCATTGTTGCACTCTGGACATCTTTTATCTTTTTACATGGCTGCTGCACCGTGAGTATAGTGTCAGATATGTGCAGCCGTTCCCTCTCAAGGCAATTTGTCTCACCAATCGAGGCCTTCGGAGGACGGGGCTCATTTGTTGACATCAATCATCATGACAACAACGATGCTGCCAACTAAGATATATCCATGACAACTCCCATCCCCGAGGAAGACCATGAGAAGTGGTTGAAAGCCTCAGAAAAAAAAAAAAAGTGATTTACTACTCCTTTGAAGGTCATAAGAATCAATTCATGTTTTTATTTAGGGTTTTATGTGCAACCTTATCATAGCTGATAACACTTTTAAAATGTGTTGTCATCACAGCATGGTAAACAAGGGCCTGGGGGAGCAGCAGACTATCAAAGCAAACTTTTCCTGTTCCTTGAGGACTGGTTGAAACACGTGTTCAATAAAAATAAAAAATAAAAATAAAAAGCATAAAGACAGCCATGGACAGACAGTATCTTTGTGGCTTTACTTGAGGGGCGCAGGAGATGGCAGGGGGTCGCTCACTGCATCAGCACACGGCGGCAATGTGCTCCCTGCCACTGAAAACATCTCTGCCTCAACTCGTATTATCTGCGCGGTGGGTTGTGGGTGTGTGAGCGTCGAAGTAAAATGGCGGACTTGGCAAACGAAGGTGAGTAAGTGGCGGTATGGGGGGGTGAAAAAAAACAATACGGCTACTGTGCCGCCATAAACGGCGTCTTTACGATGTCTGCATTGTGTGCGACAACCGAGACGAAGCCGCTCGGCCGCACGTTCACGGAGAGTCCAGGTGAATTGTGGCTCCGCGGCGTTCAAAAGGAGCTCAACGTTAGCGAGCGGGCTAACAATGCTAACGGCTGGGCTGCGGGTAATACCTGGAAAATGCCTCGGAACGCCCTCGGAACGCCGCCTGGTATTAGCCGGTTCCCCTCCTAACGCTAGCACCCGGCTATTTATAGTGTGTGTGTGTGTGTGTGTGTGTGTGTGTGTGTGTGTGTGTGTGTTGTGTGTTGTTAAAAGCAAAAAAAAAAAAACATCTAAAGTGTGTGTAAACCCTTTAAAAAAAAAAAAGCTTGCTAGGCCAAGAAAGAGGAGCAGCACTGTGTGACAAAAGGCGATGTGTGAGCGCCGGGCTGGTTTTGTTGATGAAGAAACGTTTAGTGTTCGATTCCCTGCCTTGTTATTTAATGTAGTTAGCGGTAGTTAGCGGGTAGTTTTTGCTTGTGGTTCATTTGGGCGCGTAGAGAGAGAGAGGGGGGGAAAAAATGTCAGCCAGGAGACAATGCTGTTGGTTGTGTCCGCTGCTTCCCTTTTTACTGTCTGTATTCAGTCAGCTCACTCTCTCTGCTTGTCAGGGCGAGGATCGATAAACTTATCGGTGGATTCGTGGTGAATATTGGTGTCGTTGCAGATGACTCATGCGGGGATGGAGCGCATTAGCCAGCTAACTATAGCCAGGAAGCTAAGCTACGCTCGGGGCTTTAGGGAACAACCGGTGGCGCCGACTATTTGCTGGATTGGGTCAGACAGTGTGAACGCTAGCTGGTTAACATAAGCCGGGAACATCTCGGGTTGCTTGAATTTCTGCAATGAGTATCCGCGTTGCATGCCGGAATTTCTTGCATACATTAGCCACGGTAGCCGACTGCACGCCCGCACATAAACACAAAGCTGGATGTTAAATATAGGTCACACAGCGTTTTCATGCTTTCTGTCATTAAACGTGCTTCACGCATAAAAGCCAGCTAGTATTAGAAGTGAAGGGGGTTGCGTGAAGAGAGAGTGAAGGTCGGGTGCTGCGTGTGTGTGTGTGTTGTCGGCTATTTGGCTGTAACCGCATGAATTTATGCCCCGGCAAGGCTCACCACGACAACGATGCTACACCTGCTCAGTGAAAACAGGCCCAACCCAGACAAGGGGTGGGGGGGGGACCTTTTGTCTGCTAACATTATAGGATTACATATCTTACAGAGGTTACAGTGTGCAGGCAGACGCATTCATAAGTGGTGGGGTGAGAAATTATTAGCCTGCTGTGTGATTGCTGTGGTAGGTTGATTATCACAATAGCTTATAGCAGCAGCAGCAGCAGCATCATCTCTGGTGGTTGGGCTGAATAAAATCCCTCTTTTGATTACCAAAGTAGCTGCAGTTGCTGTTTGGCAATGTTGAATGACTCAAAGTTTGATGGCCGTGTGATGCAATAGTATTTGTGTTCATGTTTGGTATTTGAGGATTGTTTATTTCAGGTCAACATAATGTGATCTCATTCTTCCTGGTACTCCTAATGGGATTGCATGATTAACTGTAGTATAGTCGGATCAAGAGTTGATTTCTTCTAACTTTGACATTGTTCAACATTTATAGACATATATTTACTCTGATTTCACGCTGACCCAGCTAAATCTGACATTTAAAGAAACTGTAAACGGTTGTTTTTACCTCACTGAAAGCTTCACCAGAAGTATTTTAAAGAAGGGAGGCACTGTAAGTTTTTATCTGACATACAGTCTGTAAATTATAGGATGTGTAAGGGCTCCTTCCAGTACTTTAGATGGCATCATATGTTAATGCGTGTGGTATATATGTATGTATGTATGAATCACTGTGCACTGGAATTTGTTTGATCCCGTGCTAGATGATTATTACTAATGCACATAACCTTCTAGCTTTATCAACACTCATGTGGTCACTGTTTTTTTTAAGAAGAAAATCAAGGCCTTGACATGAGTAGGCCATAGCCTTAGCTATTTTGTAAACCATGAAAAAGAAACAGATGGGATTGCTATACACTTTAAAATACGTGCTTAGATGACTAGCCTACATCTTCTCTTAACAGACAAGCCTGCCATAGCGCCTCCTGTGTTTGTTTTCCAAAAAGATAAAGCACAGAAGGTAAGTTTCTCTTATGTTATTCAAGTATTTACTGACTGACTGAAACCATATTTTATGATTTTGCAGACCTTATTTGTACTGATATTCAGTCTGGAGGGTATTATTGACATATGGCTGAAGAGTTGTTAAGATCAAGTCATTCAACATTAGCAGAGCTCTTAACAAGGCTTGATGAAATGTTAAAATGTGTTGACATCGTGTTCAAGTACATCTTGCTTGAATTGATACTACTTTTCAATTTCCCCCCATTATTGCAGCTCCAGACTGAATACCACTGATGAGCAAGATGCAACCTAGTTTTATTTGCTAAACGTAATCTTGTTCTTTTAATGATTTGAGTGACCAGGACTACTCTTTTGGGATAAATAAGGACTAAAAACTAATTGCGTTCTCTTGCAGCGATCTGCGGAGGGCTCAAGTGCAGAGGATGGAGAAGGTAAAACTAATGTTCAACTTTATTTGTTTAACATTATCTTTCTTTATTTGTTTCAGCTTGAATGTTATTAATATTTTGTTACCATTATTTTCAGATTCAGATAAAGACGAGGGAAGCTATTGCCCCCCTGTGAAAAGGGAAAGGACCTCATCGTTCCCACCCCCACATTCTGGTAAGGGCACGTGGTGACTAAGCAAAGCATTCGTTTTTTCTTGGTTCTTGCTTGTGGTGTACACATTGATTTGTATGCTGAGTGCAATCCCCGTTTGCTACTTTGCAGTTCCCAAGAACAATGTATTCATGCCCTCAAGTTTCTGCCAGTCTCCAACTGGGAACTCTGACTCTGAGCCAGGTGAGGCATCAAGACCACTATTAGTAGTTTCTCGTAAAAGTTTCAATGGTCAACATGTTTTGTTTTTTTCCCAACAGTTTAAAGAACTAAACACAATAAATTGACTGAGATTGTTAGACAACAACTTTTGCAAGGATTATATGACCAAGGATTTTTTAAACATGTGTTTATGTTTTCTGATGCCATGACATCAATAGTTGCAAAAAAGATGTCAGTGAAGTTTTGCATATTCCCTGCCTGCAAATGCACCCTTGTCATTCTGACCAGCTCTAGTTAACTCGCATGTTGTAATTTTACTTTTTAGCTAGTCCTGTAGGGTCCAGTGTGTAGCATTTAGGAAGGATCTGTTGGCAGAAATGGAATATAATATTCATAGGTATGTTTCCATATACAGTCACCTGCAAACAAGAAACATTGTGTTTTTGTTACCTTAGAATGAGCAGTTTTTACAGAGTGTTGTGGTTCCTCTTCTGTGGCTGCCTTGTTTCTACAGTAGCCCACAACGGACAAACCCCCAAACACTGGCTCCTAGTGGTCTTTTCGCCTTTTTCCCAAGTTTCACGGCTAGTGTAGTTTCTGCTACACACTTTGAAGGCTGAGCTGTATTCATTTCTGTAGTTTTACCGCTAGATGCCACTGAACACACTGGTCCTTTTAAGTGTCTGACTTTATTCATGGTAGGAGGAAAATGTGCAGTTAAAGAATGCTTAACTTAATTACACGGACATGAGTGTATTTCTTCCAGAAATTATTTTATAGAAGTGAATGTAAATTGAAGATGAGTGTAAGTGTAGATTTGACATAAACAAGGAATGTACTCTAATTTGCCTTCTATAGTAGAGCAGTAGGATCGCTGATAGCTGCATCAGACAAAACTTAGTATGTGGGATCTTGCTGGGATGCATTCCTAGTTAAGTTGGACGTCTCTCTATCTGTTCAGGCTGGTGGGTTAAGCTTCTGGTTAGGGTTTGGAAGAGGAGCTTCTCAAAATCCCCTGTAATTCAAAGAATACTCCTTCATTGTGGGAACATTATGACCCAGTGTGACCCATGACTATGCCTGTACATAATGTAGTTCTGTTCTGGATTATAACTGTTTGAACTGCCAAGTTCAGCTAGGAAACAAATTCTAAGTTTACCAGCCAAATTTATGTTGCCAATATTGGGGGAGAAAGAAAGTTGAGATTGATGTTGGTGACGGGAGAGTGTTTGTTATTATAGGATGCCACAGTGTCATGTGCTGGTAGTTGGCTGCAGTTCATGTAGTACCACTGAACAGGAATGGTTTATTAGGAATTTTAAGACAGCTGTGTTTTGTGTTGGTGGGTCTCCGTGCCTTATTCTGTATAGACCATACATATATAATGACTGTTCCTAGGTTAATGTTATTTGTATTTGTTAGAAAGCCACTTTCTTTCGCTTTAAAAAAAAAAAAAAAAGCAGTGTATAATAGTATAACATTTGGGTCTCAGATTTGGCAGTACTAGTCTGTAGGTTAGGTTGAGTTTGGTCCTAAACATGCATATACAGAATGGGTTCAGGTCTCAGTTCCGCACTTGTGCAGACTCTTTGCTGGGGTTTGGGATCCTCTTTGGTTCAAACATGCAGTATTTACTTTATTGCCGTTGGTAGTATGGTGTTGACCATCTCAGACAGAATATTTGTTATGGTTCACCATGTGCATTTAATTGGAGGGAGTAATGCAAAACTTATTAAAATAATTTGCTAATGAGGCGTTTCAGTTATTAATTTGTATGTACACAAATGTACATCACTTAAAACTGGATGAGTTTAATAATGAGTAACACAGCCAAAACAAATAAATATAGATGAAAAGACTCCAGTGGGACTCTAACACTGTAACAGAAATGTATGTTGATTTTGTTATTTGAAGTGTACTTTTTCTGTAAATAATGTCTTATTCAGTTTTTATGCTTTGGATTTGGTCTGTTGAATTCTTATCACCAGCTCAACTGTTTAGAGTTGGCAGGGGTGATGTCACCAGATAACACAGCTTTACTGAGAGGAGGGGGCATCCACTTGAGCAAACAAACATGGCATAATTAATAACCATTTTTAGCATATTACATAAAGCACTTATTTGGAAGTGAAACAACAAAGAATAACACACCAGAACACTTGCATGCAGAACTACAGTATAGCAGATCACCTGTAATGTACCGTACCGTTAAATTGAGGTTAAAAACATTTATGTTTCCTCGTTATTTTTTCATTGCAGAGCTCTGTCTAGTGCCCTATGAACAATGCTGGTTAGTAAAATGAAAAGTTTTTAGAAAAACAAAAGAATGAAAGAAATTTCTTTTTGCTTCAATATTCAGTAGACACTGTAATGAACTTGTAAATCTTGAAGAAAAAGAGGGTGCTTTCGGCTTTCTGCTTTAGCACTGATTAGGGCCAGGTCATGTCAGGCTATTAAAGCCACTGAGATGGAGAGTCAGAGGTAGAAATAGATCAGAGGCCCTAGAGTCCGCCATGTTACTGCACAGGAGTTGGATCATCACTCTTGAGGCTCTACAAGGGTTGCTGTGGTAACGGGGTCTGTGGTTAGAAAGGTGCAAAGACAGAAGGAACGTACCCTTTTATAAGTTTCTGTGTGACTCTTAGATCTTTTTTTAATGTCTGCCTTCTCTTGTGCTCCGTCTCACCAGAGGAGAAGCCTATGGGATTCCGTTTAAAGCCACCGACTCTCATACATGGACAGGCACCAAGTTCAGGTTGGTGTTTGAGATTGGTGACCTTTGTGTAATGTGTTTTTTTCACACTGACTTTGAAATGGAAAAAAAAGACTTGAACTCAGACTTGCACCCTTTATATGACCCGTCTTCGAAATGGAAATGGTACATGTAGACCCAGGACATCTCATTGTGTTTACAAAGTATGAGACAAGTTGGCTCTGTTGCAGGCGTCCCAAGTCAGAAACCCAAGGAACAGCAACGCAGTGTCCTCCGCCCTGCAGTTCTCCAGGCACCGCCCTCTAAATCACATATAGAGTCCAGTGAGTGCAGCTTGGAGTCACCTGCACTTATTAGTTGATACTTATTAAACATTCTCAATAATCGTTAAAATCTTCTTTGTCTGATAATTCATTTGACTTTAATTATTGATAATAGTGCAAGTGCATAGTGTGTTTTCTGCATGTGCCTTACAGACCAAATTTCCTTCAGCACAGTAAAAAGAAAAACAACAGTAAATTATCTTTTGTCTTTTCTGTCTGTTCATTTAGATTCCAGTTGTGGAACCAACGGTGTGAAAAAGTCATCAGATGGTGCACCTGGGACCCAGTCCCTCTTCCTGAACAACACAGAGCACTCAGCCACCCTGGCCAAGTCACTGGTGAGGGCTTGCTAAATCTCTGCCTGTGATAATAAAGGGCTTGGTATTGGAAAAACAATGCCAGTCAGTTCAGTACAGGCTTTGTTTAAGGCATCAGAAAGTGTGGGAAAGTATAAAACTGAAGATTATTTAGAGAAGAGCTAAAGCTTTGTGTTTATTTCCATGCTCCTTTTGTAATGAGGAAGTGTATTGAGTATTCATAAAAAGTGAAGCAAATTTTTGTAGTAATACAGTTGATATCTAACACTTGCTTTTATTTTATTTAGAGCAGTGTTTCTGTAAAGCTGGCATTATATAGAAACAAATATAAAGTTGACCCTGGGGCATTTTTTGTTCCCATTTCAGAAACATGAAAATGAGGAAGATGGAGCAAGTGGTAACAAAGATGGAGGCGGAAGAGAGAAGAAGGAGACAGATGTAGCAATATCTTTTGTGTTTGGTCAGAATATCAAAGACAGAGCAAAGGTGGGTTGTTTTCCAACTTGAGGCAAGAACGTGTGACAAACAAAAAACAGATATACACAGTTAAACGTGGCAGGCAGAGGAGGAGCTGTGGATCGTAAGCCTTGTTATAGTCTACATTTTATGTTTATTTTGTATAACTTTAATGTATTTCTAGACTAACATTTTGATAAGGGTTTCTCTGACTCTGTCTCCTGAAAAGAGGTGCATTTCCTGTGTTGTTTTGTATCATGTTGTGGTCATGATTTTGACAATTTGGAAATGGTGACTCACTCACTCACTTGCTATAGTAGATTTCCCTTTTGTGTGCATTTGTAAAGGTTGTTTTCTGTCATTTCTTTAAGCATAACTCCAAATTTAACAATTTTTCCCCCCCCTCTAGTTGGAAGAGAACAGTACAGAAGACAAGTCAAAGGATGGTGTGCCACTGGACTCTCAAACAGAGGGCACTAATTATTTCTTACAGTACATCTCTACCCCAAGGTAATGAATTTGTGTCCTCCTTTGAGTATTTTTAGCAACTCATCTTCATTTATGATTAACTTCCATCAACTCTCTAATGTTTCTTTTTCTTTCCCATGCTTTCAGTTCAAAAAATGCCACAAACAGTACAGACAGTGGGGCAAAATTTGTTTTTGGGCAGAATATGTCTGAACGAGTTCTGGTGAGTTGAACAGTGAGTTTGCCGTTTGCCATAACTCCTAATAATTGAGCTTTGAACAAGTTCCAATGATCATCTTTGTTGTGTTTTCAGAGTCCCCCAAAGGGTGAGTCCTCAAATGAGGAGAATAAAGAAGTTCCAGCTGCCCCTGTTTCAGAGCCCTCATCACAGGAGACCACCCCAGAGAAGGGTAAAGACACATTGATTATTGAAAACAAAAAATAAAGAAAATAGTGGTTAGAGAGTGACATAGCTACACCCCAGAGATAACCACAAACAAGAAAAACAAGACTGTGAAATAAAATGTTCAACACAACAACATTGAAATTTTAATCCTAACAAATAGTCACTGAAAAATGTCTTTATATATTTGACAAGTTGTGTTAAGTCTTTTGATATTGGCATCACATTTAATTGGGAGCTAGTGTTTGATTAGCACTCCATAAAGAACTGTGGGTGTAATAAATACTACATCTGTCATTTGAGATGCACATTTCATATCACTAGTGATAAAACCCACTAATGTCCTCAAAGATCAAGGCAGTTTTGTAACAATGAACAATCACACAAAATCACATTTAGAATTTGATATGGCAAGAAGTAGGAATTTTGGTATCCTAATATATTTTGACACAAAAGAGGCATTTTATCTTTCCTTTGTCCTTACCATTAGATTCACTGTTTATTTGCAGCAAATGTAAATAACTCCTAAAGAGGAAACAGGTCAAACAGAAATATGTGAATTGAAATTAATTAAGATCACTAGAAAATATCAGCTTGTTTTGGGGGAAAATAATACATTATAAATGTACTGCATGAGTGGATTTAATGAAAATGTTTACAATAATAGAGGCTATGACTATATACTGATTTTGGTTGTCCCTTTACTTTAGAGAATGCCATTTCATTTATTTGGTTTCAATCATGAACTCCTACTTTATATCCCACACAATTGACAGTCTTTTATTTTGTGGGATACACATGAAAGGCTCCACCTCCTAGTGAGATAATGCTGTGCATATATTTTTGTGTTTTGACAGTATGTTTCAGTGATTGTTCTCTTTGTCCAGTGACAGTGAAAAGAAATTAGGCATTTCATAGCTGCTGCGTGCACAGGCATTTCTTAATGTGGGCTTAGAGCTGAAGTGGCTCTTGTCTGCAAATGATCTGTAGCAGTCTGTACACCTCCTGTGTTAATTGATGGGAGAGCAAGCCTAGATGCTTCATGATCACCCTTGAGCATTCGTTTTTTTGTGTCGCTACAAAAAAGTTATTGAAGTGAGAGGAGACTCTAAAACAGAGGCATCCATTTTCGAATTTAAAAAAAATCAGGGACTAAATATTAACAACTGCTACATCCACATTTCTCACCACTGTATCTTATCTCAGCAGTGAACAGCGTGTCAGAGTCTTTGGAGGAGTCTGCAGCAGCTTACACCAAAGCCACAGCCAAGAAGTGCATCTTAGAGAAGGTCGACGTCAAAACTGGAGAGGAATCGGAAAGCAATGTTTTACAGGTAGAAGGCGGGTTCTCTTGATTCAACACATGCACTAAATAAATGTGGCACAAAGCAATACAGTTCTTGTTTGTTGTCACTCTCTTTCTTCAGATGCAGTGCAAGTTATACGTATTTGAGAAGACTGCTCAGTCGTGGATAGAGCGAGGTCGAGGTTTGCTGAGGCTCAACGACATGGCGTCGACAGATGATGGCACGCTACAGTCCCGTCTAGGTAAACACACCTGCAGAAACTAGAAATAAGTAGAAATAAACAGCTTGTTGTTTATAGTTCGCACAGATGCAATCTTTTTATGGTTAAGCGATTTCAGTTTGAAAACCTGAAAGCTTGTTTTTGAGTTCAGTGGTTGTGCCATAAGTCAAGATGAAAGATAACCCCTTTCTCAGTTAAAAAAAAAAAAAAAAAACTTATTAGTTTTGCTTTTCATTTCCATTATTATTACAATACCTGACTTTGGCCACATGGGGGAGCCCATTCCTTTTGTACACACTTCTGAGGACTAGGCACCACAGCATGCTGTTAAATACACTGTATATGTATGATAGTAGAATGTGGAGTATGAAGTGTTTAGTTATCAAAGAAAGAGAAATACGAGAATAGAAGACAAGCTTTCCTGAGAAGGAAATATAGGATCATAGTAGATAACATTTCTTATCATGGTGTTTATGCTAATAAGTGCATGGCAAACTAGGCCTATAGTTACAATTATGGTTGTATACATTTTCTCTTAACTCACAGCACAGATATCATACAGTCAGGTGGACTACAGTAAAACATGTGGCTGCTTGGGCCTGTAGTTCAATTTTGTTGTCTTTTTGTGTTTAAACCCTTCCAGTGATGAGGACCCAGGGCAGCCTCCGGTTGATCCTCAACACTAAACTTTGGCCCCAGATGCAGGTGGACAAGGCCAGCGAGAAGAGTGTACGAATCACTGCCATGGACACAGAGGACCAGGGGGTCAAGGTCTTCCTAATATCGGTATGTATGAAAACATATAAGGGCTTGGGGAAGATTTTAATCTTTAATCTTTCTTCCCTGCACAAATGCAAAGAACCCCAAATATTATTTTTAGCTGTAGAATGTTAACTACGAGATCCTTTAATTAAGTAGAGCATGGACATCTGCTTTAATATAGCAGAAACTGAAAGCTTTCTCGTGATTCATCTGCTGACTGTTGGTACTTCCTGACAAGACATCATCAGCCTGATACCTGCAGGCAGCTGGCTAGCTAGCATTAGCAACCCGGCTATGGGAAGTGACAGCGACCGCAGGTCAGCGAGCAGTGTTTTTTCAGTTGATCGCTTTTACAGAAGTAATAGCTACATTTGCTAAAGTGAGACAGTCCTCTTGAATCACAACAGTCCCATAAACTTAAGCGGGTGCACACGTACTGTAAATATTCACCCTTAGATGGGTGAAAGGATCAGATCCTTTACTTAAGTAAAAGTACTAATATTCCACTTTGTACCTACCAGTACAGTGCGAGTACAACAGAAGCCTTTCCTTGTCTTATTTTCACTATCATATATTTACTGTTGCTGTTTTGCTACTATTGCTTTAATAAAGCCAAAGTATTTCTTATCCGATTAATCGATTATTATTATATTATTATTTAATTAATCGTTGGCTGCAGACCTAGTAAGAAGTATCTGACCTGATTCTGTTTTAAATTTGACGATGCTTTTTTGGTTATTCCAGATAATGTAAATTTCCACAGCACTATTGTTTTGTAGCAGGACTGCTCTCATGCATTTAAATTTCAGTTGCTGCAGAGCTACTGTTAGTGAAATGTAAAACTTCCTGCTCAGATGTTTCATATAAAAGCCCTCCGGTGGCTCAAAGGGCACAGTCCCTCCTTTCAGGTTTGCTTTTAATGTGAAACATCCACATGGAAATTTGAGTTGTACTTCTAAATTGCACTGGTCACATGATGCCAGCGGTCTAATGTAAGAGTATGAATGTTGTGGCTTTTTTTGCCCCTCCAAGGTGGCTGAGTGGTCTCTCTATCTGTGTCTCTTCTCTTTAGGGTAGCTCTAAGGACATAGGTCAGTTGGCTGCAGCGTTACATCACCGTATCTTAGCCCTGAAGAGCAGGGCAGAGCAGGAGCCTGAGACCCCGGCAACAACCATCCCTGAGGCCGAGGTACCGCAGTCCAACGAGGATGACAGCGACGAGGAGGACAATGCCTCTGCCTCAGCTTCAGCCTCCACTCCTGCTACGAGTCAGTGACATTTATTGTTAGTGTGTGTGTGTTTCAACATTCCCTGGTTTACTTACTCTTAAACCAAATCAATGTCATGACTTGTAGGGTTTGTGGGTTGTTTTGTTTTTGCTGCCTTTTGCTTGTCTGTACCACAGCAGCAGTGTTTTGTGATATAAACATTCATATCATTCGCCTACAAAACCCTTGTCAACCTGCTGTCCCGTTCTTTCTGCAGGTAATTCAGAGGGAGGAGAGAGCCAGGCAGCAGGAAGCACATAGCGTCACTCTTGGACAGCCTGCTAAGATGCTGTTGTTGAGGCATTTTGCTGTAGGCATCTCCATGGACACCCCTTGACCAACATGGGTCCTCCAGACCAGTACTTTTGGATATTAGAAGTCTAGCTCCAGGAAAATAACCCCTTGTGCCGGAGTGTCTCACCCAACTCGTGCAGTTCATCTTCTCTGCATTCAGCGTAATATCTGGAGTCGTTTCTTCCCTCCCTCTCCTGTTTTGTGTTTTATTTTTGTTTTCGAGTATTTTTTCCTCTCCCCGATAGCAAAAATAAAGACTTCAAAGCTTTGGTTTGGGACTTTTCTGCTCATCATATTGATGAGTGTAAGGGTGTTTTCCTCTACATTTTAAAGTATGGCACATGTTAAGACTGCAGTTTCTACTTTGGGACCTTTTTACTCACTCTACAGTTGTGCCTCTGGACGCCACACATCCAGAGGAGCTTCATTCAGTGTATTTGACTAGTCATCAGTCAGTTGTTCCTACATTGAGTCCAATCCTCCTCCTACCCCCCCATCCCAACCAGTCCGTGCGTTAGGTTTTGGCAAATGTAATTTATTTTGGATCGTCATTTTCATGAGGCATCTCAACACATATGTGCTGTTTGTAATGGCTAGCCAAGACCACTCAAGTTGTCATTAATAGCAGTTTCTTATATTTCCTATTGACCTATATTATACTGAATAAAAGACTGAAACAATGCAGTTTCTGCTAACGTGAGTTAATTATGTCAGGACAAAAGAGCAGAAGGATTCACCTCAAATTTCTCTCTAAATTAATAAGATGTGTTAGTCATTCACCTTGTTGTTTTTTTTTTAATGATTTTATTTTTGTTTCCAAATCCAAAAAGGTAATTCATCAGTCTACATTCTGCATGTAACTGTTAATTCTTTTTTTTTTCCTTTGAGCATCCCAAGGGTTTACTGTGTTGATACATATTTTTTTATTTTGAAAATATACAAACTTTTTATCCATTTACATTTGGAAAAACATATTGGAATGAAGACTTAACTTCATGTGTGGAAAATTTGAGTGATAACTGTAATACCTTTTGAATGTCATGTACATTTGAATATATCATTTAGTAGCGCACCATGTTTTCTCATCTCCTCCAACTGCCCCCTTTACAAAATAAACCATTTTGGACTGACATCTGGCATTTTTCCTTATGAAACCTGAGTTTCTGTGCAAGATCCAAACTTAAATCCAAATTTCAGAGTAAGATGTCGGTAAGAGTGGTATACTTTGAAATCGCTTGTCTTCTGTAGATTTATTAAATCAAAACCGCAGCCAAAGAAAGGGAGAGCGGTTCATCTGTTCTGTATTCATGTGTTGGATCTGGCCTACAGGTTGATGTATGCTGTGCTTTGAATGCAGTGAGCAGGATTTGGACCAAAACTTACTTCTATACAATATGCATCATGCACAAGGTCATGAATTTGTGATGCATGTACCTATCATAACAGCCTGACACAATCATATGCATCCCAACTAGACCGCTGCTGCTCCCAAACTCCCCTTATCTGACTTTCTGTGGAGCCACAGCGGGAAGGTGCTTTTCTACGCTGTCTCTTGTAAATGACTGCTGGTGTGGTGAAAGTCACAAGAAATAGTTATGACCTTAAATGTTGGGACAGTATTAAATATAAATCTATCTGCATAATTTGTTTTTTTCCTGAGGCCTTGAAACCCTACTACTACACACACACACACACACACAGTTTTTGCCTTGCTATGCGATTTCAAAAACTTGTTTGAGCGACTACTGGAGAAAAACACAAGAAAAATTTTATTTATATGGACTTGGTTATAAACCAAAGTTACACAATGCTTTATGGGAAGAAGACATTAAAAGAGAAGGCAGTGAGGTGTACAACCCACAAAATACAAGGTGTAAAAGAATCAGGAGAAAGCCAGAGAAAACATCAGCAAAAGTATGATGGCATTTAATTTTCAGCCTTGACCTTGAACAGCCGCAAGTCTCTGCTCTGGAAATCTGGGCCTCTTCCCAGGGGTCAGAGGGCACAACAACTCATTCAAATATAGAGAGGCCTGTCCATGTAATGCTCTGTATGTCAAAAGTAAAATTTTGAAATCAATCAATCCTGCAACAGGGAGCCGATGGAGAGAAGCTAAAACTGGAGTTCTCTTGCTGCAGAGTTGAGGACCAGTTAGAAGTCTGGGAAGATTTTCTGAGGCGAGTGAAGAAGGCAATACAGTGTAATAAAAGCATGGATGACTTTTTCTAAATCACAAGGCTGAAGAAGGGTCTGATTTTTAATTAAAAGCAGGACAGAGAGGGATTTCAAATAGAGCTCAAAAGTTAAATTCGGATTAAATTTAATCCCAAGTTTTACTACGATGCTCTGGGCTGAAGGCATGAGGACGCCGCTGTCAATGACAAGCGTAAAACCGACTAACACTGGCAGAGTGTGCAACCTTGATAAATTGATGAGGCGGTGTAAAGCAGAGAGCCCAGAGATTTATTACGTGCATTAATAAATCATATGACACAAGGTTACCACATTTTCTCCTGTCAATACTTGGCACACAAGCACATGAATAAAAATTGGGTTGTGATGGGTTTTTTTTTTTTTTTTTTTTAAAGATACCAACCAAATTTTGGTTCCATAAAGCTCCGTCTGTATGATGTTTTCAAATGAGGTGAGGAGGTTAAAATACTGTAGGTCAGTGGGATCTTAAGCTTGCGTTGTCTTATTACAAAGCCATTTCTTCTACATGTGACTCTAATACTTTTTGGAAGCCTCAAAGGTGAAGCTAAACAGAATATCAAAAGCAAATAGTATTTTTATGTAACTGAATTTTGTTTTTTACTATTTTCCATCCCAGTAATAATCTTACGATCCATTAGATCCATCTCAGATTCCCGCCTTAGTGGTCCTTAGTTGTAACTCTTTAAACTGGGAGACACTGCTAAGGGACAAAACTTGTACAGGATTGTAGTCTGAGTGATTTACACTATGTTTTATAGTCTTAAAGTAAAGGTCAGACACTCCATACAGTTATTTGTATTTTCACAAATATTTACTTCATCTATAAAATGTCAGAAAATTGCCAAATTGCCCATGTCTCAGAAATCCAATGTATTTTTTTCCTTAGATACAACAGACTAAAGCTATTCAATCACAGAAAACAGAGCAAAGCAGGGAACACTCACATTTAAGAAGTTGGCACCTGCAAAGTGTAGGCATTTCTGCATTATGTAATGATAAAATAGTTGCAGAAATTAAAGGTCAAGTTCAGAGAGATGTATTTACCACACTGCCTCCAGCATTGGTTCTGGTTCTGGGAGTTTGTTTGTAGTCAGTTTTTTGAGTCACAAAATATTGGATTATGTTCTTTCAACAGAGCTATAATCTTGTAACCTTGAATTGATTGTCTTAGCCTGCCTTACTCATGTATTGTTCCTATCCTCCCCTGTTATATGAAGGTCCAATTCTCTCTCCCCTTTTTCTTTTGATATGCTGTAAATTCTCCGTACTGTATTATTTTAAAGGTTTTTAGATATACATCTTCCCCGAACTAAGCTTATCTCTAAAAATTTGTTCATTGTGATGAAACCCAAGTAGATGGTGTCACAGTGTATTGGTTTAAATGTTTTTTCCAAATGGTTTTCCTCTGGTGTATTGGGATCAAATTGAGCAGGACAAAATTACCTGTGCAGTTAAAAAAAAAAAACACTCCACTCCCCTTTGTCTTGTCTTTGTTGATTTATGAGGCTTAGAGCCACTCTGTCCTAAAATAAATAAATAAACTGATCCACAAGAAAATAAGAGAAGAGTATTTAAAGGTGGTCTTAACTGTTCAGTGGAAGCACGTTGCATAGTAACGTAACTGTTTATCTCAATCATGTGTTTCCTTTTTATTGTATGCTCTAGGCATCAAGGTCAGCATTATCACATTATCACATAAGCACATAATCAAGATGTGTTGTCATGTGTTGGTAAATATTTGTGGTACAGCAGTAGTTACCAACAAGTAAAGTAAAAACTGTTTATCAAAAGGGAGATGGAAGAATCTTTGTAAGAAGGGGAAGGAGTGTCTCATTTCTTAAGTTTTTTCCTCTTTAGTCATGCTGGCGGCGTGGCTTAAGGGAGGCAATGTCTGTCTGTCGGACTGTGGGTCTGTCTTACTTATGTTGCTGTGAGCACGTTAGCATGCCGGCATTAACATTTACCTCAAAGCACCACTGTGCATAAGTACAACAGTTTGAAGGATTTCCAGAGGCCTGGGGAGATTTGGTGAAACAGGATTCCTTGTGACACCTCGGTTTTGTCTTGGACCCCTTGTGAGGTCTCGGCCCACAGGCTGGAAACCACTGGCATCATCTGATAATCTGTATTAGGTATTAAACGTATGGTTAACATTATCATAAACAGACAAAAATTATGTTTACACTTTGTATAAAACTAAAACACATTGTGTGTATCCTTGAGGTCTAGCAAACATGTTGAATTAATTTTCTTCCTCATCAAACATTTGCAGAGCAGATATTCTTGAATATTTTAAATTGCAGATTGTTGACATCCATGTTTGTTTACTAGGCCTGTTCTTCTTCCCTACCTTACTGCCAGCAACTATCAATTAGCCAAATAGCATGAAACCTGGATGTGACTTGTGCCGCCCACGTCTTCATTTGCATGCATGATACAAACAAAATGGGGCCCCGCTGATAGAACATTGCTTCATAGCGCCACAAGTGGTTGAACACTCCACAGGGTACCTTTAATGTTCTTCAGGGAATGGTAAAAATGTTCATTTTTATTGTTGCTCGAATAAAATGTTCTCCTCTGTCTCTGCACAGAATGAATCTGCATTGTTTTGGATCGAATGAATATTCAGACCGTGTTTTTTCTGCTGATTAAATGCAAATGACACACCATAGAAATGCATTACTTCAGACCAGGTGGAAGCTGTTGTAAAGCGATACCCCAGAGTTACAGCAGCTCCTGAATTTCAGTAGACTTGGACAACTTTCAAGCCTATACATGTCATGATGTCAGAATGAGAAGCACCTAATATGCATTGTTAAAAAAGTAAAAGCCCAGGAATGAACCTCTTATGTCATTACTCAAACAGCTCCTTTTAAGAATTCCTTATGGAAAACAAATTACACCTGTTAAAACTAAAGTCATTCCTCTTCTTCACGCAGCCTGCTCCGGTGTTATAACTCAGAGAGCATTTAAAGGGAGTGCAAAATTAAAATTACCGCCTCAGACGGCACATTTCTAAGACCTGTTATCACCTATAAGCTGAAGCTTGTTTACAAAAGGCAGATTTGTAAATGAGTCACGCAGTCCTCGTTAACTTGGGAAGTGTTGGCAGTTTGTAAGGATAATCATGTCAGAGTGGATTAAGTTCAGAGGGGGAAGTTGATAAAAGATTGTGATGAAAATACTTAAAAGGAGAATTTGTGGAATGCTCGGCTGGAGAAGGGGGAGTAATGTTTTTATACCAGTGAACAGAGGTAAATATCTATCAAAGTCGTACTATATTCTTCCTTCCGAGGAGCTTGGGTAAACAGCAGTAGCCACATAAAAAGCAATCATCAAAACCAAAGTAACATTTATATCATCTCCCATAAAGAACCTCTGATGATTTTTTATTTGTGTCATTTATTTCCTTACAAGGAGACAAGTCATGCCGAAGAGGGCTGGGAAAATAAGAATAACTGCAACATGACTATTTCTTCTATGTGAACATTACAAGAAGCGTCCTCTTCCAAGACGGAAATGTTGTATAAATAAAGTGAAATTAGTAACAGGAACGAATGCCGAGCATGACATTGATTTTAGTCAGAAGTTCAAACCTTACCTAAAAAATAAACAAATGAATTACTCTGTAATCAGATGTGGTTCCACAATACTATCGGATGTTTTGTCTTTTCCCCACATTGATAGCCTGGGAAAATGCATCTGGTGACAACATGCTGAAAATGTCAGTATAATGCTCTGAAATGGGTTGGCTAAGTGCATTTTCTATCCCAAAGACAAAAATGTAAGAAAAGTGCTGAGACAAAAATGAATTCCTTAGCTATATGTCACACATTAAAAAAAATATTCCATTGCTTATTTGCTGCATTTTAACTGTTTTCACTGTTAGTATTTGAAATTAGACTTGTTGGGTCTAAT